TAGTTTGTACAAAATACTACTCCTAGTCTTTAACAAAATCCGTGTGCAACAAAATCAATTAGTTTAAGCCTTACGGGGATAGATAGCCTGTTGATTAAAGTCTCATCGCGATTCCAATCACCACCGCCACCTTCTCTCTTAATCTTGAGTAAAAAGTTAAAAACGCTTAGGCCTTGTTTAGTTATCGTTAAACACTTCTAAGAAACTGCTTTGAAAATTAAATCACTCATCGTTGATAAATCTAATTCCAAAAGAGCAACTTTTGAACACCATCAAATGAACAAGTTTCAAGAAAGCAATCTGCAAACCAGACAATGTAACCAGCAACCAAGCAAGGCAATTCACGTTTCTATTACCCAAAAAAAACAAAAAATAATGAATAAAAAACAAATGACGAGCTTATGAGACCCGTAAATAACAAAAACCGTAAACCATATCTGTCAATAGAACATATAAAAAAAACATCATAAACAATTTTAAAAGAAAAATTCTCGAATGTTTAGGAAATAAAGTAAAAACACTAAAAAATCCAACCATTTCTCATAGTAGATACAGGTCTTTGGAGAGATAATGCCATCAGGTGTGCACTAATTTATCCAGGGACAAACGCCGCATGGAATTGAAGCCATTGCCCCTTGTCCTAACCCCATCCTGCTTGCAGCTCTATAACAGTCAGTTCCAATAGGAATTTTATGATATTCCCCTAATCCAGTGCTCTTAACCTCAATAATCTCATTGTCTAAAACCATAGAACTCAGTATCTCTTCAATTTGTTGTCTTGTGCAATCAGCCTTGGTAATTTTATTCCTAGTGATAAACTCGGAAATTCCTTCTGTTGTAGCAACCTTCATCTTCTTTACGATTCTTAAGCACGACTCTCTCAGAACACGAGTGTATTCTATATCAGAACACCACCGCATACCATGAACCACCGGTGACTTCCATTGAGGGTTGAAACTCAGTAGCCATATAATGTTTTCTCCCCTTGCTTTTGACATTAACGACCTCTTTTATCAAATTCCTGCCTTGGAGTATCTTGAGGGCTTTATTGACCACGGGTTCAGGAAGATTCGTCTCTCGTTTCATGTCTGCTTTCCAGATTCCCATATCTCCTTTACTTTTGATAAGACTTAATAGTACACTCTCAGGTGTCTTAGTTTGTTGTGCATTTGGTTCTTGTCGTTTCCGCTTAAGGGACATAGCGTCCTGGGATAGACTCATCCCTGTCAAAAGAACATACAATCAGCTGTTTAAAAAATACAAAGAACATACAATTAGAACACACAATTTAGGTAAGCCCAGTGAGCGCGTGAAATTCTACATGAACTATAAAGAACCTAAACCTCTTGTGGCGAAATCTTATTTCAGAACTTTCAGGACTCTGAACAGAACGTAAAACAGTGAAAGAGATCACGAGATTGTGATGAAAGAAAGACAAGTGGAGAGAGAGTCCTGAAATGAAATCAGTATACAACACGAATGTATTCTATATAGAACACAATCATTTTCACCTCATATGAAGGAATTTCTAGAGGAAATTGATGCAGCCTAATATGACTGCTAGTGCAACATGGATGAATTCTAAAACAGCGTTTCACTGAGGTTTTCAATTAAATGTAACCTATTTTCCCCCTGTTCAACATGACATAGATGAACTATACAGGATTCTGTTTCCTTGATTCTGCGCACAAATGAAAATAATCTTGCTAGATCAAATTGTCGAAACAAATCCTCTAAAGAGGAACAGCTATTTTTGTCACATTCTGGATGAGTTTTAGTTTTGGAGCAGAAACAAAAATCCTCTAAAGAGAAACAACTATTTTCGTCATTTCGTGTACTGGTATGTATAACCGCTTGAAAATCAAACTAAATGCAAGTTGTTTGTAGTCAAGCTATGAAGTATAGAGTGGTTTATATAAGGAACCTCCAGTCAAAATCTGATCCCGCCCGAACTACGTTGTGGTCCTGAATGTGTCAACCGAACTTTACAAATTTACCCTAAATCATGAAGGGAAAATGACCGGCAGGTGGAGAAGACCAAGTCTTTTCTCCAATAGATGGTCTCCACTCTTGAAATCACCCCTCCCGTGACAACAAGTAAAATATTCACCAAGACATGGTCTCTCTCTCTCTCTCTCTCTCTCTCACACACACACACACACAAATACAGCACATTTGACACATTCCACAGACATTCCCAAATTGCGGCAATGCACTAAAAATGCCATCAACAATCGGGTAAAACCTTGGAGCTGCGACATCCTTTGTTGTTGGACACATGAAGCATGACAATGCAAATAGGACGTAAGCAGTCTGAAACTTGACACCCGCTTCCTCCTCTCCCAACACTGTCTCCAACATTTTAACAGTAACTCCTCTAGTCTCGGCAATTGTTCGCCGTCTTTTGAAAAGAGTGACCAAAGGTGGTCTACATGGCTATCTTCACACTCAGTTGGTGCAACGCCAATTTCAGAAACACATTTACAAAGAACTGAAAAACCAAGGGAAATTACAAGACTAGGAGCAAGGAATACAAAATAGTTTGAAACCCACACAATCTACTACACTACCTCTTCATGTACATTGCCAGGGAACATACATGAGGTTGTGACCTCTTCATTTACAAGACTACGTGCAAGGAATTATTATGCCAATTATTTACCACCATTTTTCCAAGCGCAACACTAATTACACTAACTACTGTAATCTCACCTACATTAATCAATATTAGTCACACATGCGAGTACAACTACACAATACCTCCTTGAATTAGGGATTTGGCTCCCCCATTGGGCCATTTTCACAAACACATGGTATGCAACAAACAAAAAAAGATTTTGGTCTGATGTTGGGTGGTGGTTGGCGGTTCTCATGTTGTGTGGCTGAGTGATTTTGGTCTGATTAGGGTTAGGGTTAATTTTAGGCTTCTGGGCTGGGTTTGACCCATTTTTGTTTCAGTTTTGCATTTTTGTTTTCTTTGGGCAATGAATGTTCATCTGGGCGGTTTGAGACTTACCTCACGATGCTTAAGAACCCTCATGTTGATCTGGGTGGTTGGCAGTTTAAGAACCCTCCCAGAGAGGGAGGGAGGGTTCTCCGCAGAGAGAGAGAGAGAGACTTACCTGACGATGCTTCAGTCGGAATCGATTAGGATGAAGCGTGGTCGGGCGTTCGTACTAGGGCAGCTCTATAACAGTCAGTTCCAATAGGAATTTTATGATATTCCCCTAATCCAGTGCTCTTAACCTCAAGAAAGACAAGTGGAGAGAGAGAGAGAGAGATTTTCTTTCACTAATTTCACAACTATATCTTGAGTCAAAAATGCTAAGGGTACATACAAAATGTACATATGGATTTTGTGGGGCTCAAATCGGGTCCCACAAAGATAATTCGAACCGCCCATTATTTTTAAAACATATTTTTATGGAGCCCTGTAAAAAATCAGCTCAACCCGATATCGGTAAGGATTTTTTCTGAATTTGTGGGAGCGAAAACTACTCGTCGCCCCCACAAATTCAGAAAAAATCCTTACCGATATCGGGTTGAGCTGATTTTTTACAGGGCTCCATAAAAATATGTTTTAAAAATAGTGGACGGTTTGGATCATCTTTGTGGGATCCGATTTGAGCCTCACAAAATCTATATGTACATTGTATGTACATTTTGTATGTACCCATAGCAGCACTCATCTTGAGTTAACATGATTATTTCACATAAATAAAAAAATTCTAACACACACACGCATACAGATGTACATATAGTCATGCTAACAACCGTCCATTTGGCAGCTTTAGCTGAGTCAAGGTTTCAAGAATGATATATCTTCTCAATTTCATGATCTTAATACTTTAGCTTCTTTGTTATAAGTGCTCTGATTAGCTATGCCATTAGGCATTAGTACAGGACCTCGCTGAATACCTTAGCAGAAAATTAACTTATGAACACTTTCATTGCGAGAGACTTTGGACTAGAACACTATCCTTGTGTCATACGTACCTTACAATCTTACATCAAAGAAAATGTAGGGGGCCAAATTTCTCCCAGTTCATAAAGGTGTACCGTCATATCTCGGAAGGACCATGAGATGTTATATTTGTTCATATTCAAGTTTCGGGACTTTCATTTATTATCTTGCCAAAGCTACGTCATTTACAGCCGAATGATTTCAACAAGTAAAGTAGTATCCCACGAGTATTGCCGAACGTTTTTCTTAAGTACGCTCGGCAGTTCTTATTATTATTACTCGACAGTTCTAGTATCGTTCGGCAGCTCTTTGTATTGCTCGAAGGTTCTTTATGTTGCTCGGAATACTTCACAGCTCGGCAGACATCTTTATCGTTCGGAAAAATATACGGTCGCTCGCTATTGCTCGGAACGTACTGCTATTGCTCGGTATGTGGATGCGGTAAGTTGTGATCTTCTAGAAGTTTCTAGAAGCTTCCTTTTCACTTTTTACATAACTTACTCCCTAAGTTTCCTAACTTTCCATTTATAGCAACTTTCTATTAATGGTCATTACTTAGTCATTAAGTTTCACTCCCTCTTTCTCTATATAAGCAAAGCTCTACCCCTCACCTAAGGTACATAACACTCCTCTCCTTAAACATGGCTTATATTCTCTTCTTTATGTTTTTTCGATTTACCTTCCCCGGGTACTAACTAGCTCGTCGGAGGCTCTACCCGGAGGAACCCCCCTCCGGTTTGCAGGTTCCAGGCTCGGTGGCAACCACTCACGGCTCGGCTCTCACTGCTCGGCAGCAACCTCCCCAACTCGGTAGGAACCTCTTTAGACTCGACGAGCGCCCACACTGTTCAACAGATGGAGGAAAGGATTTAAGTAGAATTCACCCCCCAAACAGAAAAGCCAGACAGCCAGTGTTCGATCAAAAAATAAAAACACTGGCTATGTCATTCAAGAGCTCCAAAACCATATTTCCATCTTCTTCTTCTTCTTTTTGTTGCCAGGCATGGTGTTTTACTTTTATAAATTAGGGTAAACATTCCCCATGTTTTGAAGTTTTTGAACCTACAACCAGTCAGTTAACAGCCGACTGCTCTACCACTGATCAGCTACTGAGGAAGAACGGACTTAAAGAAGCCGACTCTCGTTCTTTGGACCATCATGTATTGTTCAAAAAAGAGTTGATTCAGCATCATCACTTCACAATCTTGCACTATCTTCGAACATAATTCTAGCCATGAAAAAAGGGAGAAAATCCAAGCAATTAATGTAGATAAAGTTCTCCAGTATTACAGTTATACTATTATCATTTTAAACTTGGAAACCACATGATCACTATGTGCTTCTCATAAGTCATAACCCAACCCAGCTATGGCGTCCCTTCTGCAAATTATGGTACGGCTTAGGGACTTTAGCTATGTCGCAGATTCCAAAGTTCAATCGTTAAAAGATAGTTTCTCACCTAAACCTCTGGTATCAATTACTACATTGTTTATTCACTAGGTAAACATGGAATCTTTCACGTAAAACATTTTACCTATTTTCCTGTATTTGGTAGTACAAATTATAGGTAAAATATTTTCCTTGTCAAATCTATTCCGCCAATGGAGGCAAAAATGACTTACCCCAGAGAATTCATTCCATCATCCACGAAACAAACTATAAAGACTCAAATGGCCAAATGTAAAATAATAGAGGTAAAAAATGGAGGCATGTAGTGGGGGAGGATAAAGAAACTGGAAGAACAATAGACCAAGATCTATGCGAATCAGTAACGGAACCCAAATTAGATAGGAAAGTGCCGGTTGGAAATGGCATACATATAGTACAACAACGGTACAATGAGCATGGAAGGTAGTAAATTAAACAGATACAAGTGGAAAGTGTACATTGCGACCGTAAGTGACTGAATTTTCTGATCTTCGAACGCAACTGAAGACACTTACCTCCTACCTTTTACACCCAAAGACACAAGACTGAAGATACATAATTTCTGTAGACAATCACATGGCATAGACTATTTCTCCGCTGCTATCGATATCAAGGTCGGGGTCGGTATCCAAGTCCTCGTCCATGTCATCATCAATGTCCAGGCTTCCGGTCAGGTAGTGGTTGAGACTTTGGGTCCCTGCGGCAGGAATGGTGGCCTCGGCAATAATCTGCATGATTTCATCAATACTCTGCATAGGTTGATCGGGCTCTTCAAACTGTTTGTTTGTTGTGTTATCATCCATCAGGTCTGCCGGAAGGTTCTTTAGAAACCACTCGTGGCTTCTGATTTCAGTAATGGATATCCTCTGTTCAATTTGGTAAAGCAAATGAATTCATATTCCACCAACCTAATTACAAACCAAAAGTAAGGCATGCACTAATTATCACAAAAAGTTTGGCATGTGATTGCCAACAAGTGCAGCTTGAAATATTCCCTTTCAGACTCTTGGTTTAAGCTTTTGTTTCTTAGCTTGTTTTTTTCCTGTTTGATAGTGGTAGCCTAGTAAGGGTTAGGTTCTCACCCTTCGTGCTGTTTGTAGCCATGTGTTTGCTCCGTTTATCTGGGTTTTGACCCAGGGGGATACCCCTTTAGTTTCATCGTAATGATCTCTCTCTTTTTTTGGTCAAACGGAATTTAAAAAGAGGCATCGTACTGATCTTTGTTTTGGGAACAAATATAATTTACCAAAAATAAGGGATTCAGGCATGTCAGCAACAGGCCACTATATTTAGGATAGACTCAGTTATTTTGGATACAGACTCCGTTATCTTATCTATATGAGTATATACAAGAACATGGCTGTACATGCAAATCAATGTATATATGCATATTTGTGAAATTAAATTCAGTTTTTATACATTCAGATCTTCAATACTCCTATTTTGAATATTTCAGCTGTGGTGTTCATCATTTCAGACTCTATACCAACTATTTCCAACACATACGTGGCTGCACATTCCAGACAGCATTTTAATAGGAATGTCAAGTTTACACATGTCAACATGAGTTCTGGCTATGCGTTCAGGTCTACCAATCACACAGCTCGTACTAGATAGAGATACTCTCAAAAAATAGCACCAAAGAACATTTACAATTAAGGCTAAATGCAGGACAAACTCCCTTCCAAAAATGCAAATCTAAACAAGTAGGGAAAACAATTTTCGCATCAAGAAATAGACTCTGGTACAAGCTATAATAGTAACTGACCTTTGCAGGGTCAGCTACAAAAATCCTTGAGATCAGATGGCGACACTCTGGAGAAATATGAACATAGTCCGGAATAGAATATTGAACACTCAAAATTCGCTGCATAAAGCAAAGAATTATCAAGCCGAGTACTCCACTTGAGATGCATGTCTATTGTAAGAGCAAGTGAGAACAGTTACTTGTATCGTCTTGCGGAAATTTTTAGGCTCCTCAGGGTCCTCAAATGGGTATGCACCAACCAGCATGACATACAAGGTTACCCCACAAGACCACACATCTGCAGTCTGTAATTGTAATTGTAATGGCACATAAAACAAGTAAAACAGCAGCAGTTATGATACAAAGAATACATGGACATAGGAGAGCAAACAGATATTTTTGCTTTTGCCATACCATACCAGGGTGTTATTGAGGTACACTGTCCCATTTACCACTAGAACATCAGTATTAAAAGTATGACCTTGACATTCCTTTCACATGATTCACATTTTTTTCCCATATTGGAAGGATAAATATGACATCTCTTCCAGGAAATCTGACATTTTATGCGTTACGAAGATTAATCATCCGTGATGAATATTTCTATTCCCAAGCTGAAGAATCAAGACTGATATTCAAGTTGTTTGCAAATTATACATATTACAGATGAACACGTTCTATAGTATAGGAGTAGTTTTCATCAATCGTCCTGTCAGAATTCATGTAATTTTATTTCTTTACCCAACTACAACAGAAGAACTACAGCCCTCAAACCAGAAAGCTCAAACATGAACATGTTCCCCCAGAAGTTCCCATTTGGATTCCTGTTAAGGTAAAACACACTAGGCCAGCTTTATCGCGTGATCTTATGGCCAATTAGAAGAATTGTCAGGCTTACCACCAAAACAGTTGCTAAGCAGATATTAATAAGCCAAAAATGGTGATATGGTTTAGTGAGGTTCAGGAAAAATTAGACTGGAGAACTAGACTTATTACAAGTCCATGCCGACTGCCAAAGAAAACCTACACAAGTCCCTATTAAACCAGTACGGAAACTCCAGTATACAGTTTGGAAAAAACAAAGCTCAGAATTATTTGTTACAAAAATATGTATCAAGTTAACGGGTTTCGCAGCACTCAATTCACCTTGGTGAGAGCAAAATATAATAGAGTTATCATAAACTGATTTACCTTGCCATCATACTCTTTCTTGAGTAAAATTTCTGGAGCTATATAGGCTGGGGTTCCGACAGTTGACTTTGGTTGCGAATGTAGCACCGAAGACTGAGATTAGTAAAAACAGTCAGAATGCATACAAGAATGACCAACAACACATATAGAATCGATAGGCACACTGGAATATTTTTTTTCTATCTGTTTCTCTTTTATTTTTATTTTTCACTACTTAAATCATTATCATCAATCCATCATTGTAGTTCAGTTTGTGGGGTGTTGTTCACAGAGTTGCAAAAGACTAATCATGCACACATGCATTCGAAATACTGCCACGCAAAATACTGAGCAAAAGGAGATATAGTATCTTATAAGCAGAGAATATTTTGTGAATACGAGCAAATGAGCAATAGAAAGAAACATGACCAGGTACCTTGGAATACCCAAAATCACAGATCTTCAGCCTAGGAGCTGGGCTTCCATCCAGTAATGTGTTCTCCAATTTCAAGTCGCGGTGGCACACTTGCTTCATAAAGGAACACAATCGCACTTAACCACTAATCCTGCTTTAAAGGACAATGAAATAATGACACTGGACACAGTAAACAAGTTTAGGTACCATCCCATGGCAGTAGCTGACTCCTGATATGAGTTGTTGGAAGAAGAAGCGTGCCTGCAGTTCAAATGGGTAGAGTTTTAGTGCCTGCAGTACAAAAAGGTGTACAGTGTACACAAAAGATAACAGATGTTGAGATTCATCCAAGGAAAAAAGATCAATTGTTGGATCAAAACCTCGTCCTCACTGAAGCGTCCTGCATTGCATATCCTCTCAAAGAGCTCTCCTCCAGAAGCATATTCCATTACAATAGCCAGATGGGTTGGTGTCAATATGACCTAGAGCAGAAAGTTAAATGCCATTTAATTTAACTGAACCTTGTTCTCTTTTTCTCTTTGTTTACCAACACAAAACATAGAAAGAAAAGAAGCAGAAAAAAGAAACACAGGGACTGAATTATAGACCTCTCTGAATCGAACAATGTTGGGATGCCTCAGCGACCTGTGGTTAATAATTTCCCTCTGTACATTTTCATCTATCTGTTAAATCATTTTTGCAACAGTTAATAAGCAGGCAGAAGATATTTAAGGAAAAAGATTGGGTACAAGCAGTTTCACAATCACTATATTACAGCCAAGCACTTGAGTTATACGATGCAGACTATCCTCAATACCTATACAGTCTATTCCTTATAAAATTAAACCCAAAAAACACCTCTGTCGATTACAAACAAGTTGCATAACTCAAATCATCCAAGTTGACAGAGTAACTCATCATCTTCCGAGAGGAAGAAACCAACAGAGTTATTTTGATTTGTTACACAGGTAAATCCATGATACAATCTTACGCATGCAGTCTATAAGTATCAGACTGATTTTCTTTTTGTCCTGGCTTGAGAGCAAAATAAGAGAACTACAAAGCAAGAAGGCTTAGCTTGCATGCCCCTTCTACCTTCTTTTGTCTTTTCTGTCAAAAACATAATATAAACATTTCTTTCATCAAAGGTTGAGATAGAGAGCTTTTTTTAAGTTAAGCAAGCAACTTTTATACCAAAAAGAGAGGATATACAATGAAGCTCAAAGCGCAAGCCCCAAAGGACACACAAAGTCGCACCAATACAGGCAAGGACAAGCCAAACTAATCGCTATGAGGAAACACAAACTAGCAAAAAAAGGAAAACATCGCCAAAGAGGCAACCAACAACCACCAAAA